ACAGTTGTTGTTGTACTTGTAAAAATGTATCTTCTTTTACTAAACTCCCTGAAATCCCGTGTGACTTGTTCATAGCTGATTTCTCAAAAACATTAGCTGAAAATTATAACCTGAAGACACTGAAAAAAACCCCTGCTGCACAGGGGACATCCTCAATCAATTGACTCAGAAAATTTAGGGGCTGATCTGAGTATCAATATTTTTAAAGGCTCCCTAATATTTTAAGTTAAAGCTCTAAGAATAGTTCAAATGGAATTCCATGTCAGGAACATCTGATTTGACTCAATACTTGTCATAAACAAGATGCTGAAGAAACATTTTAACATTAAAAGACAATCCAACTAGAAATATGAAGACAACATCAATACATGAGGCTCACAGAGAAGCAAAATAAGTAATCAAATTTAAATGCACCAGAAAATTTCAAGGAACCTTTTATGCACTAGGTTATCTTTGGTTTAAAAAAAGAAAAATTAGTTATCATCCCTGTTCTGTAAAAAAACATCTAAATGAAACTGTACCATAAAAGTAATTAGAGTATGTTTAGCCACCAAAAAGAAGATTTAAAAAACTTGTAGCAAAGAAAGAGTCAGCTCCCCAAAGAAAAGGAGGAAATAATTGTTTGGACTGAGGAGCAGCAAAGATTACAGAGAAAAGACAGAGGTATGAGAAGCAGGGCCACCTGTGTCTGCTTGGCTTCTCTAACAGGACTAAGTGGAGCCACCTCTGTCAATATGAGTTAATATTCTTTTGAGAAAGATCTTACCCAGAAAGATACACTTGTAGACCAACAGATAGCTTTCTTGTTTGCTTCAGTAAATTTTTCAAAATTTGTTTGGTCTTACAAATTAATATATCTGAAGTTCGCACATCTTGGCAAATAGTTCTATCAGGAATGATTGCTCATGGGGGCAAACAGCTCATTTGTCAAACTTCAAGAGTTTCACCTGCCATGATGGCCAATGTTAAGCTATTATACAACACACTTCACCCTCTCTTAATTAGCTCCCAGCCAGGAAACATGTGTCTCAAGATACTTATGCCCAGGCTTCAAAACTGTCTAATTCTCTGTTAATCTTCCCATTTTAAACCCCTATTAAGAATAAGAAACCATTTACACTTTCAGTTTCTCACACCAGAGAAACTATTCAGTATTTATACATGTGTGTCCTATTTATTTCACTTAAGAGTATCGCCTCAATGTGCATCCAGTTAGCTATAAATGCCTCTAATTTCTCATTTTTGATGGCTGAGTAGTTCTCCATTTTTTTATTAAATTCTTTTATTGGTACATTTTAGGTACATAACACAATTACAATCCTCATTGGGAATTGTACCTCTACATAATGCATCTTGGTTCTTATTTTTTCCCCATTCCTAGCCCACCCTTCACACCCTCCACCCTTCCCTATTTACAAAGACTTTATTTCCATTT